GTACCTATTACTGCTGGGTGGGCAGGAGGGGGCGAAAAATATCTGTGTCCGAACCGAGGCTCAAACCTGTTACAAAGTAACGTAATGATACTTTTCTATTTTTAGACCAACCACTGAGAGGTACCGCACTTATGGCAAGAAGAGAAACATTTGTCAGCGCGTGACAGTTTCTAGGGTCTTGTGTTCTTTTCGCCTGTGAAGTGTTTCTAGTTTCACGATTGAAAATACGATTAGAATTAGATCTAATCTCGTGAGTTGTCGAAAGCTGAACGTTTCGCAGTTTACCTTCATAATTTAGTAAGTCATCGTTTACTCAAAGTGTCGCTGTTTACATTCATAATTTAGTAGGTCATTGTTTACTCAAAGCGTCGCTGCTTACATTCATAATTTAGTTGGTCATTTTTACTCAAAGCGTCGCTGTTTACATGCAGTACGATTGATATAAAAGAAAAGGTTTCGGAAGAAAACGACAAAATCATAACCTTGTTCATGGTGACAGTCTGTAGCCCTAGTGTGGAGTATAGCAGGATGAGTATGTTTGGGTTTTTTAAAGTTTTAGTAGAGGTTTTACGGCGCTTGCAACTGCATAAGGTCATATGAGCGCCAGAAGATTAGAGGTTTTTACAAGAGAGTAACAAACATAAAAAAAGAAGTAGGGGAAAAAAGGACGATGTTGCTTTCTTGACTCAGAATAGCCGAACAGATTGTCAGCCTAGGCTAAAGCAAGCTCAGCAGTGGACGTCAGAGAGTTTTGGGGGACGTCAGATTTGGCAATCGTGTTTTTATAAAAACGCTTCTCCAGTTAATGACCTCAATCTCTAGGTCTGGGCGTCAGAGAGTTTTGGTAGACGCCAGATTCAGTTACCGTTCTGGTATAAAAACGCTCCTCCAGTTAACGACCTCTATCCAGGTCTGGGCGCCAAGAGAAGTTTGCATAACTCGGCGTCGTCGTCGTGTTTTCTCTATTACAACATCTAGGCAGGCCCACTGCCCACCCGAGCATACAACCCCCCCCCCCCTTCCTCAGAGCCTTTGTGTAGACAGTGCAAGAGCACTCCTTGTAGGCCTAGTCTGTGTGTACAATAAGCTTACTACCCGACCCTCAGAAAGCGACATGCGTATGTGTGTGTGTGTGTGTATGTGTGTGTGTGTTGGGGCGTTCCGGGTGTGCTCCCTTTGACAACAGTGTACACTCCTCGTCTAGTCTAGTGTACTTCGCCTCCCACACGCGGAAAGTAAAAAAAAACACCAAAAACCCCAGCTTACGGAAAATTAGAAAAAAAATATTTTACAAGAACCTGCTTCCGCACGAACATTCTTTAACAGTTTTATTTGAGGATCATCTCGTGATGAAAGTACATGTACGTTGTGTTGTGCTGAAGACACTTCAGGACACTTGTTGGTGAAAGATGAGTCTGGATTGTATTAACAACGGGAAGAAGACCTCGTTAGGACCACGGAGAGATTCTGTGGAACACTGCTCGACACAGCAGGTAATTACAACACGGTACCTGCACCGCTGTTAATTAAATATGCTAAAACAGCACCTGGACATAGATGGCTGGTGCCTCTATAAATAAAGCATTGATGGTCATTTATTTTAACTGTTTGTTTGGTTGGTTGGTTCGAGTAAAGCTAAGAGGAGGGGAGGGA